ACAAATTAGCTATAACCTTTCTCTGTACCCCAGCCTCATCCGTCCCTTGTGAAAGACTATTTTCAAAAGCAGGAGAAATCCTATCGAAGAAAAGAAACCGTTTAAAGCCAAACACTTTGGAAATGCTTGTTTTCCTCAATAAAAATGAATGAAAGGTGTATCTTGTTCCTTGTTTATGTCAATGTCTAAAATAAAGCAATCATTCTTTCAAGTAACACACGCACATTCATTCACATCACAACTCCCTGCCCTTTTGACTCCATCAAATCCATGGTATTTTAATCACTGTGTCATGACATTTATTTTCCACATGATGGCGCAATAGAACATATGGAGCCTCATGATGCATCGGCCCAGGACCGACCCAGTTGAATGGAAAGCCTCATTGCTTCATGAGGCTTCAGATTCCCATCACTACAGAAAACTAAATCCAAAACAAACAAAGTCCAAAGTATCAAACAAAAACCAGACTGAAGCTCAAAACTATCAATAACAAAAACATGACCAAAAACATGACCTAAACATGACTGACAAACAAACATGTCAGCAGCAAAAAGCACCAATGACCCGACAATGATTGCTCGGGCTGGAGTCCGTTAAAATAATATCATGACAAATCCGTGTGCACCTGTTGGTACTCCGACATGGCCACTGTCAGCTGAGCCGCCACTTCACTTTGATAGCATCCATGAATTTGGCAGCACAACCTCTGACGAGTGGGATCCCGCAAGCGACACGAAAACAGGAAAATAAAAATATACCAACAATCGTCTCCTGCCCCCCGACGTCGAATCTCATGGGGCAAGTCACTCCTTTCGTGGGCCTGTGTGCCCACCATGACTGCTCTCAGACCCATGAGGATGATGCCGATGCCGATGATGCTGATGATGCATCGGCAACGCTTGACTGCACTTCCTGTGGTCTTTCTTGAGAGGGATGCGTTTACCACGGAAAACCCTCTCTCCCACTGTGGTCTTTCGGCGGCACGCAAGGTCAGCGCACTTGGACTTAGGTGCTGATTCTCCTTCCTGAGATTGGAGTCGCTAGGCCCCTCAACCTTGAACCGAAGGAGCTTGCACTGCGATTGGTGGATCGAGCCGTCGCGTCCTTCGACCTTGACTGCAGTTTTTGTTGCTGCAATCACTTGGGAGGGGCCATTCCAGCGTTCACTGTCCCAGAGAAGTCTTTTCAGCACCTTGAGGAAATTCTGATCACTAATCCGGACCTGGCGAGTCTGTGGCGCAGAACACCCTGGCAAGTCATTGTGCCTATGCATCTCTTTCTGATCAAACAGTCTTTTAGTCTCTCTCATTGTCTTAATGAGCCTGGCTTTGACAGTTCCGTCAGTGCGTTCCACAAATCCAGCCGATTGCGGGTGGTACGCACAGTGTCGCTTCGAATCAATGTCCAACAATTCGCCCAATGCTTTCACGACAGTTCACGAATCATCGCGTGCGCTCGAAGACAGTTCAACCGATTTTGAAAACACATCAACAATGACAAGACAGTGTCGTTTCCCTTGTGTTTTGTTCAAACAGATTACACAACATCTACAATTTTTTTTTGAAAAATGCATAATTCCAGGTGTATGATAATATTGGTGCACCTGTGCTATCATTGCTATCATCCCCCTGTTGACACGTGACAAGCCATGTGTCAACCTCGCGGCGCACTCGAAGAGAGAGATTGGAAGCCAACGTTTCCCGTCTTCCAATGTCTCTATCCCTGCGTCATCCGGTTGTGCTCTCTTATTTGTCCAATATTTTCGTTCTGTGTGAGGTGCTTCAATTTGTCTTGATTTCAAATCATCATGTGTTGTGTTCTGTGCCTCTATTGCTAGTGCGCCACGTGTGACTGCAATTTGGCAGCTGAAATGAACGGCCAGGGTAGTCATCACTTTCCAATTGATGTATTGACGCACCCAGCCATCCTGTGTTTCCTCGCACCCCGGATTGGCGGGGGAAGGGCTCCACAGGTGGTTTGGAACGGAGCTGGCAAGGTTATTCATATTTTTCCACTCGCATTGCTCTGGTTTGCCGAGCGGTATGTAAAGGTGTTGCCCTTGTGGGAGGAGGGTCTTGACCGCCCTTCCCACCCGCGCTGTGGCGAAACACCACTGATCTTTCCAATACACGTGCTCAATAACAATACCCTGTGGTTCCAGGCCCAGAAAAACTGTAGTGTAGTCCGGGTCTGGTCCCGGTGTCTGCTTACGTCTTATGGTCACGTGCAGGTTGTTTGCCGTTTGCGCGTTACCTCCTGGCTTTAATTTGGTACCTGCCAATCGAACTAGACATTCGGAACTCCGAGTTACGTCATCGTTCGGTAAATCGAGCATCCAAAAATAGCGAGCATCATCTTGACTGTTCCCCCTGCAGGCTTCGACCTGGCCCTTGTGATTTACGATGGTGTAAATCTCAAGTTGCGTTTGAGCATCTCGTCCCAATAAATTGTGCGGAGAGCGAGGGTTTAATGCAGCTTCGACGAGTGCCTTCCGGTCTGGGGTTGTGGGGGAAGTGATGGTTACTGTTTGCGAGAACATCAGGGGATGCACGGAGCCGTGTGATCCGTTCATGCGAATTTTGGCGTCGCCTGGCTTCACAGTATCGCGATTCCAACGACCGAGAACAGTGATATCGGCGGCTGTGTCAACAAGGAAGACGGTCGGGATTCCTTCAACCAACAACGTCATTTCCGGTTTAGTAATGGACGAGGTTTGACATCTCAGCAGGTAGTTTTCTGTGTCGAAAACATGATTGCTACCGGCTGAAATGTCGCCTTCGTCCTCACTTGAGGTAGGCGATTCGAACCAAGGCACAGAGGCCTTTACCGCTGTCATAGCTCCCTCCTCTGTTTTATTCCATGTCGGTCGGAAATCCTCCTCATCTGATGAGGAGGTCCCCGTGCTAATATCACTCTCCTGTACGCGCCTGTCCTTCTGCTGTTGTCTACATTCTTTCACCATGTGACCCTTTTGCCCACAAAGGAAACATCTGCCTTCAACAAAACGTTTTCGGTCCCAAGGGGTTAATTTGAAGGGAGCAAACGACCTTATTTGTTTATTACTTTTGTAAGGATTACCTGGGGTTTTCCTGTGTGCGTGTGGGTTTTTTGCGGCGTGATAAATGTTGGTCACGTGACTCTCATTCTTCTTTTTCTTATTCTTGAGTCGCTCGAAATTCCGTGCATAACTCAAAATCTCATCGATCGAACATGTTGGCCAATTCAAATGATGTCTTTTAACAGATTGGGTAACATCAGGATGTGCTTGGTTCAGCAAATGCTGTTTTAAATGTGAATTGAACAGGTCTGACTGTGTCTCAGGGATACCGCCGTGTAATTTGAACACTGTCCGGAGACGGTGGAAAAAATCGTCCGTAGTTTCGTCAGCCTTTTGAATGCATGTGGCAATTTCTTTTGGATTTTGCGTCCGCTTGTATGCCTTGGCGCAACGTTCCTAAATTTGGTCAAGGGGTCCCCCTAGCTGCGTGAATTCATCATAGCACAGATAATCTCCCGCAGCTTTTCTACCATTAAAGTTGCCCACAACTGCGCCGAACTTAGAACTGGTAGTTAATGAGAGCAATTTCAAAAGTTCACTCGCGTTAAGCCTGTGACTGTGTACCAAATCCAATAATTCTCTCACAAACTCGTCCGGGTCGTCCTTCGGTTTTGGAAGAGACGCGGCGATGTCTCGAAATTCGGCCAGGCCAAGGACTTGGAAAATTTTCCGAGGCAAGGCCAAGGCCAAGGACTTGAGAAATTTTCCGAGGCCAAGGCCAAGGACCAAGGACTGATTTTGAAAACGAGGCCTAGCCACGGACATGCATAAAATAATGCTATCATACCACTTGGCAGGTCCTCATGATTTGCAACACCCCTCCATCATAACCCTTTGCACTTCCTCACGCTTGAATGAAGTGTTTTTATTCAAAGAGTAGAACAGTCAGGGTACGTGTTATTTATACTGAGAAAAAGAAATAAAATCATATGATATACATTTATGAATTAATGTTTTAGTGCAGTAGTTTCTTAATATGAAGTAAATCAACACTCAACAGGCATGACATGGCACGGAACACAAGTTGAGAAATGACTTTGCATAGAAGTCAATCACTGACTGCAGAAAAAGCGGTAATCTCTCAGTGATAATTTTACAGTTTACCGGCAGCGAGTCCCAGGAACTCACTGATCAGAAAAGTATGAGTCCCATTATGCATTGAGAGAGTCCCAAATTTCAAATTGCGAAATGGTCTACTGATTCAACTGCATATGATAATAACACAAACAACATATACATACAATT